ACCAGTAATGGATCGTTTGATTGCTCTCAATACACTTCATGCAGAAGGTAAGTCTCAGTTTTTAATCCTTGCAAAAGAAAAGATAAATAAAAAAGAGGATAATTTTTTTTTTTATATTGATTTTTTTTTTAGCGGGAGAATTTAAAAAATCATTAAAAGAACTTGAAACGGATCAAGTAAATGCTTCCGTGAGCATTTCAAAAAATGAAACGGTTTTAAAAAATGTTCAGGATGCTTTAGAAAAGCATTTAGAAATCGTTGCGAGAAACATAAAAGCTTTCGACGACAGATTAGGAGCAATTAAAAAATAAAATATGCCTCTCTTAACACGCATATAATTTATATTATTATTATTATTATTTTATTTTAATTTAACTTAAAAAATTTATTTATTATAACTATTTAATAATAACTTAAATCTGCTGTGCGTTTATATAAATAATCTAAGCTTTAAACAACGATTACGATAAAATCATAAAAATAATAATTAATAATAATAATAATAATTTTTATCTTTTTAATACTTTATTATTAATATGTGATGGATTTATTAATGTTTGAAAAAATAAATAAATAAATAATACAATTAAAAAATAATTAATAATTAATTTTTTTTTTTTTTTTAATATATTGAAAAATAATAATAATAATAATAATAATTTCGTGTATAAGCGTGTAATTAAAAACGCAATGAAAAAAACACAATTTGGTTATTTATTTATTTTTTTTAACATAAAAATTGATAGTAGAAATTTTTTTTGGCGGTTAAAAATCAGGACGCGGTAATTTTAATTCTATTGTATACACGTGCACGCGCACACGCACGCACACACACACACACACACGTTTTTTTTTATCCTTTCGAAAAAGACGAAACTCGAATGCTGCTTTTCTTTCGTAAAACAAACAAACAAACAGACAAACAGGTCGTTCTTCGTTACGCAAATTTTATTGCGGTGATGATTTGATTTGTTCGTACAAATACAGGTATCCGAGTTCTTTCGGAGGACATTCCGAGAGAGCAACTTTATTGTCGTTGTAAATGATCCACTGTCCATCTTTGAGAATGTGACAAACGTAGTGTCCCACCATCGATGACGTACCCATGTGAGATATGAAAGCGCGAAGTTTATAACCTGAAAATACGTTAGTTTTGCTGAAGGAGTAACTTAAAGAAAAGTGGGGTTTTTTTTTTTTGGGGGGGAGGGGGTTACTCACAAGTGCTATTTCGATCGCTCGATTCCGGTTGACTAATAACATCGTCAAAATGTTCTAATATCCAATCGCAAGCTGCATCG